TCCCAGCCTCTGTTTCCTCACCTGTAAGATGTCCCCCGCCTCGCAGGATCCCTGTGAGGAGCAGCCACTGTCGTCAAGCACCAAGCTGAGTGCCCGCATGTAATGCTCCATGAGGGCTGCCATTAGTGCCCAAGCCCATCTACACACACACTCAGCCAGAGTCCCCACTTTGGGGCTCCTTGAGGGCAACTTGAGTCCCCAACACTCATCCCCAAGCCTTCTTACCAGTGCCTTGCCACACAAACATATCGGTGTCATTACTGACACCGTGTTCGTTCTTGATGCAAGAAACAGATCTACTCAGGCTGGCGCGAGTCAGAGTGAGGGGCTTGTTTAGTTAGGATCCTTTCAGCAGCTCACTCAGTTCAAATCAGCCTAAGCCAAAAAAACAAAGGGAAGGATAGGGTTTTCTTTAGTTCACATAATATAAAATCCCAGGGTATCCGGCTTCAGGCACACCTGGACGCAGGGTTCCCATGTATCCTCATCCCCTCTCAGCTCTGCTTTCCTCTCTCTGCATGCTTTCACTTTCAGGAAAGCTCTCTCCTCTGTGCCAGCTGCTCCTGGTTTACCTTCTCGTAACTGCCACATGGGGAAAGTGCCTCTTTCTTGGTTGCTCCAGCAAAAGCCCAGGACGAGGCCTTGGAAGGCCAAACCGGGTTACGTGAGCACTCTTGAAGCGATTACCGTGGCCAAAGAGACAGAGGTAGAGGAAGAGTCAACCCCACCCAAAGCACATGGCTGAGAGTGAGGCGGTGCTGACAGAGGAGGCAAGAGCAGAAACCACGAGAAACCACCATTCTTCCACAGCCCGCTCCCCCTCATATCCTGTCCCAGACACCCTTCAGATTCACACCCACTGCCAATGGCCTGAGATCCTGTTTCCCAAGTGGAATTTGAGGGAGTGAGAATCTAATGGCCCAGATACTCATCTGGCAGTGATTCCCATGCCTGGCCACTTCTCAGCCCACTGCCAGCTTGAAGACCAGCTGTCTGGGGGTCAGGTGTCCGGCTCTGATCCAGTCAGCAGTAGCCAGAGTGGGGCTGCCCTCGGGTCTGACAGCACAAAACAAGGCTGTGTGGGGTTGCCCATTCAGGGAGAGCTATGGTGGGGCAGTTTGTTAGGAGAGGTTGTGAGAAGACCAGGCCTCACAACTGACACGACTAAGTACACCCCTGACACATGTGACATCTGGAATGGGAATAACTTTATTGACACCTGAGAAAAAGTGCAGGGGGAACATTCCAACTGACCACTTAGCCTGTTGCCTCGGGCCAGATCTTTCAGAGGCCAGGGCAAGGGAAATCTTGCCCTTCCCTTGAGCCGTCAGTCATTCAGGGCCTCACTGGCCAGCGCCCAAAGGCTGGGGAACTCTGCCGCCTGTCTTGAGCCAGACTCCAAGCCTGAGAGAGGAATGTCTGCAGCTGTGGCAGTCAGCACCCAAGGCCAGGGCCAGGGGCAGCAGTGGAAGCCTCAGCGGTCAGGGTCCAGA